AGCTGTTTACCAGTTCTTGATATTGAATACCCTTTTTTTCAGCACAAGACACGCGGACTCTGAGCAAAACAGGAGTTCCCATTCAATTGTTTAGCATACTGTTTGTAAAACACAGGTAGGCCTATGGTTAAAAAAAACCCATCAACAAATAATTCCAATTGTCGCTTCAAATGTCTGATGTCTCACACAGATGGCTTTGAAATCGTAGAATATAGTCAACCCATTTTTAATCCAAACATTGTAAGCATTTTGCGATACACTGTTGTTCGTGTAGCTTGAGAACTTAATGCCCCCCCCCCCCTCACATGTACACACCTCAGGTCCAAAACCAGATAAGTCTGTGGTGAAGTTGATAGGCTTTTATTCGGAACTCGCAGAAACGCAGAAAACGATTCCGATTGCCATACAGAGAAGGTATTATAATGAGTGTCTCTGTCTGCTGGGACAACATGCGTTATGTCCAGGTTCGAGTCCAGCTAATTAACCCTGACGAGCATAATGTAAATGCAGCCTCCCTCTAAACGGTGCAGCTTACATTCACAACCTTTTAAAATCATCCCCTCCTCGATCCCCCACCTTATCCCTTAAATCTTTCTCTCCCGCACACACAATTTCTGCCCCCCCCTTAAAAACCTTACAATTATAATATACCTCCCTCTCTCTCACTCTATAGTACACATTTTTATGTACAATGTATACCTTATATAAGTAGTATCTATATGTATGCCTAAAATATTACAAAAAAATATATGCACTGTATTTGACACCCCCCCACCACCAAATTAGATTTCATTGATAAATATATCGAGGATGTCAAAACAAACATGTTGCATGAACAACTGACATACATAAATAGTATTATGTTCCACGAGCTCAAAATTGAATTGTCTTTAGCAGTGACAGAACAGAGTTTGCTTATCTAGCTGAAAACCTCGCTTTATGAATTAAGACAATTAATAGCTCTCCGTTAAAACCCACTTGACTTGAACCTAGTATACACCTATTAGCCAAATACCTACTTAGACTACTTAGAGCTCAAAGAAAATAAGTCAGTTTAGGCACTGTCTATTGACACCAACGCAAAAAACAAAACAACCTAACCCCAGTATATACATTCATCTCGACAAGATACTGCTATTCACTTTTATTGATGACACACCAGGATAACTACCCCCCCAAAAAAAATTAAAAAAATAAAATACAAATACAAATAAATAAAAATAAAAATAAAAATAAAAAATAAATATATAAAATAAAAAAAAATTTAAAAAAATAATAATTTAATTTTAAAAAATAAAATTAAAATAAAGAATATTTTAACAATTATGTAATACGTTCAAACAACCCAGCTAATTTAATATGACAGGCTTACCAACGGAGTCAATTAACATGCTTGCATCACATTGTTCCTTTTAAATGCTCCATCGTTTGCCGGTGAAAGCAAAAATTAACAATAAACTGCTATTATTGTGTTTCAAAGCTGTATGAACCAATTTTTCACTCTACGTCACAGACTTCCCATCCTTTGTCATCCACCAAGAAGTACGTGTGTCTAAGGCATAGAGTTATCTCCTTTTTTTAACGTATCCAATAGTGTAAATATTATTATAAAATGATTAGGCCTGGTCTAAGGCCATCTTGTGCAAACCTGCTTTCTAAACCCCGAACATGACATCTTGAAAGAAGTGATCCGGCTTCCACATTCTCTTGCACATATTGTTATTATTATTAGTAGTAGTATGATTATGATTAATTATGATGATTATTATTATTATTATTATTATTATTATTATTATTATTATTATTATTATTATTATTATTATTATTATTATATATCTGTGGAACGCACTGTCTAATGAGCTAGCCAACGGTAATTTAGAAAGCTTCAAAGGAAACATTGAAACTCATTTTCTTTAGAAATACCACAAGTTCTGTCCTTGCTAGTTGAGATATTAATAAGAGAGTCTGTACGATGTTTTATTTTGATGTTAAGAAAGATACAGGGTGATCTAAAAAAAAAATATGTACAACTTTTTTTCTAAATATCTCACACAAAATTTAATTGTACTAGATCTAGATCTAGATCTAGAGTGTTGTAATTTGGAACAAATTTAATTCATTCAAACGGAATTTTATTAATTTGACATAAAATTCACGAAGAATAAACTCATTTTCGAAAACGGAAATGGCTTTTATAAAAACCACATATTAATGCAAAATGCACAATTTTAAAAGATTTTGTAAGGAAAGTCATTATATAGTTGGATTTTTTTTTCCTTTCCTTTTATTTTAGAAATCTAATCTTTCCATCCGTGTAACCTATAAACAATATTTCTTTTCTCCTACAAAGCTAAAAAATGGGTTTTTTTTAGATTCTGGAATTCTAAGAACCCATGGTATACGTCATACGAACACTATACGAACGACACGTTCAAATGAGTTGATTCCAAGTTGGACACATTTGAACACGTTGTTCGTAATGTTCAGTGGTGGCCAAACACAAGGATCCACTCAACCTTGAGTGCTCAAAGCGACACACACTGTACAGCTTAACAGTATGGAGCTGCTTCTATAAACAATGGGGGG